GTAAACCTGACAGGCAAAACTCTCTCCAATTGACAGATTGGAATGGTTTGGGGAGAACTCAAGTGCTAATGAGCACATTAGCTCAGGGAGTAGAAGACCATACAGGAAGGAAGTGGAAGGGGGGGGTGGGGAAAGAGAGGATGAGGCAGGCTTTGAGAGTCTGAGCCAAGACACAACTTGGAGGGAAAGAGCTCCTACCTCTCCTATCATTGGTCTAAGTGGCTGAGGAATTCTATGTTATAGCTAAGGTGCTGCATGATGGTGTAAAGATGAGGGGTGGTGGGGTGGAGAGAGAGACACTGTAAATAAACCATATGTGGTGTTTACAAGCAGAAAGTCTCCAAGCAGACTGTGTGCACAGAAGATAATTGGAGGAGAGGGGGTGCCAAGTTACACGTAGGTTACTGCCTGGGGTCTTGCCTTGATCCAGGCAGAGGGAGAACCTCCCAGGGAGGGGTGGGTGTGAAGGATGATGGCAACCTGCAATGGTTGACAGAATAATAAAAGGAGATGCAGAAGACCTATAGCTTCCAGCAGTCACACCATCTGGCGAGGCAGGTGTAACCCCTTTGGGGTTTTAGAGAGCATGGCCACTTTAAATCTTTTTCCTAGTGGGGAGGGGGAGCAGTGAGAGAAAGGAGGGAAATTCCGGGTGTGTGGCTCTGGAGTTCTGGGGGAGAGAAGGGCTGCAGCCTGCAGGCCCTCACAAAGTGAAGCAGCAGAGAACCGATTGGGGACACCCAAGGACAGGAGCCAGGAGGAGTACTGTGCCATGGAGGAATTGCTCGAGAAGGACAGGCCGGAGGTGGACCCAGTATCACTGCTGCTCAGAGCTGCATGGGGCTGTGAGTACTGGGGCTTCTGACTCTGCACTGGGAACAAGGAGGGAGGCTGTAGCTAGTTAAGTGGGGAGGTAGTCGCTCTGTGTGGCTTTGCAGAGAGCGGCAGAACAGGGCACCGGAGAGGTTTGTTGGGGGAAGTTCACTGGCGCTGAAGATGACCAGGAGCACCCAAGACTCACCACTGGACTGGAACTTTGCTCAGGACTCCTGAACTCTGTGTGCAGACACATTGCTCAGTGTCTGCCCTTCCAGACTGTGCTACCACTGGGCCTCTGGGGCCTTGGCTTGGATGCAACCCTGTTCTACTGCTCTCCCTATATTTCCCCTTGTTGTTTTACTCCTCTCATCCCTCTGTAAATAAATATCTCCCTTTGTTATATCCATTGTACTTTTCTGTTGGTGTTCACGTGGGAGAGGGGAGGTTTGGAACAGGTGCCCTGGGAGTGGCAGGGATTTTTCCTGCTGCATTCCTGTGCGTGCCGTCTCTTGGCCAGAGCTGCCTGCAGAGCAGACTCCATCTTGGTCACGAGGATGCTAAAGTTACACAGGCATCACTCAGCGGGCAGGTGGAATAGCTGAAGAGTCTGCAGGACTTTAAACAAGAGCAAGCAAATATGCAGCAGAAAGTAGAAGACAATATTCGGGGGAGGGGGCAGAGTTTGAGAGCCAGAGGCAAGAGAAATCTGGGAGTGAGAGAGCTTCTCCCTCATCTATCACTGCTCCAAGGGGCTGAAGACTTGCATTTATTATACCTAAGGTGCTGCACAGTGGTGTAAAGGTGATGGAGGAACACTGTAAGTAAAGCACCTGTGGTGTTTACGAGTAGAATCTGCAAGTAGTCTGTGTGCACAGAGGATGACAGAAGTGCAGGGAGCACCCTGTTACAACCAGATAGCACCAAATGTCAAGTATTAGTGCAAAAATAAATACATGAATCCTGCAGGAGGGTAGTTCTGGATGGCTCAGTGCGCGTGCACATACACACACACACTTTTCAAATTATATAAATTGAATGCTGTGGTATAGTCGTATATTTTTCAATAACAAAAGCTTAAATATGTCCATGCATTTAATTTAACTTTGTTTTCCTACCTGGTATTGCTTGATTGTTTGTGATAGGAAAAGTGCCTTTGGTTAAATAAGAAAACAAATTAATAATTACTAGTATTTTGCCGTGTGTGTATCTGTCTCAGAGGCTAAGTGGGAGAATTTTAATAGGACCCCATCTTAAAATATTGTCAGCATATCACTGGTCTATTGAAAGAGTGCAGATGTTCTATAGGATGACAATTAAAAAAATATGGCAGGAGTTTTTTTTAGATGATTTTTGAAATAGAAGAGATTGTCAATGGAACAAATTGATAAATACTGTAAGTAACATGTCACTGATTAGATGGCATTCACCCAAGTGTTCTGAAGGAACTCAAATATGAAATGACATACCACAGTTAATAATTCTGCAACGTGTTGCTTAAATCAGTCTCTGTACCAGATGCCTGGAGGATAGCTAATATAATGCTGTTTTTTAAAGAGCGTCCAGAGGCCATTCTGCCAAGTGCAGGCCCATAAGCCTAACTTCAGTCCCAGGCAAATTGGCAGTAAATAACAGAATTATCAGAGACCTAGATAAACACAATAGGTTGGGGAAGAATCAACATGGCTTTTGTAAAGGGAAATTATGTTTCACCAATCTACTAGAATTACTTGGGGGTATCAACATGCATATGGACAAAGGTGATCCAGTTGATAGAGTGTACATAGACTTTCACAAGGTCCCACATCAAAGGCTCTTAAGGAAAGTAAGCAGTCGTGGGATCAGTAACTGGTTAAAAGATAGGCAACAAAAGGTAGGAATAAACGGTCAGCTTTCACAGTGGAGAGAAGTAAATAGTGGGGTCCCCTAAGGATCTGTACAAAGTATTCATAAATGATCTGGAAAAGGGGGTTAAGAGTGAGATGACAAAATCCGCTGATAGAAAATTACTCAAGATCATTAAGTACAAAGCTGACTGCAAAGAGTTACAAAAGTGGGTGACTTGGCAACAACTGGCAGATGAAATTCAATGTTGATAAGAGCAAAGCAATACATGTTGGAAAACCTAATCCCAACTGTACATACCTAATGATGTGGTCTAATTTAGCTGTTACCACTCAAAGAGATCTTGGAGTCAGTGTGGATAGTTCTCTGAAAACATCAATGTGCAGCAATAGTTAAGCTAATAATGTGAGGAACCTTTAGGAAAGGGATAGATAAAACAGAAAATATCATAATGCCACTCTATAAATTCAGAGTATATCTACACTTTGAATGCAGCGCTAGTCACCCCATCTCAAAAATATATATAGTAGAACTGGCAAAAGTACAGAGAAGGGTAACAACAATGATTAAAGGTATGGAACAACTTCTATAGGAGGAGAGGTTAAAAAGACTGGGATTATTCATCTTAGAAAGAGATAACTAAGTAGGGGAGGGGGGGAAGGATATAGAAGTCTATAAAATTATGAATGGTGTGGAGAACGTAAGGAAGTATGATTCATCCCGTCACGTACCACAAGAACCAGGGGTAACAATGAAATTAATAGGCAGCAGATTTAAAACACACATAAGGAAGTACTTCTTCACACAACACACATTCAATCTGTGGAACTTGTTGCCATGGGATGGTGTGAGGGCCAAAAGTGTAACTGGGTTTGACAAAGAATTAGCCAAGTTCATGGAGGATAGATCCATCAATGGCTATTAGCTGGGATGGCCAGAGATGCACCCCAATGCTCTGGATGTCTGTCTAAACCTACAACTGCAGAAGCTGGGACTGATCAACAGCGGATGGATCACTCAATAATTTCTCTGTTTTGTTCATTCCCTCTTAACCATCTGGTACTGGCCACTCTCAGAAGACAGGATACTGGGATAGATGGACCATTGGTCTGACCCTGTAGGGCTGCTCTTATGTTCAGAGGGATGGGCTGAAGCAGATGTCCAGTGAAAGCAAGTTCCATATGCTAGAAGCCATCACAACAGACGATCATTCATCTGCCAACAAGAAACTATGGTGGAATTCCTTAAAAGGCAGATGGTGTCACAATGCAAATACCAGTCTACAAGGAGCTTTTGTATGTTGTTGTTCTTTAGTCATGAGAAATTAGAAGAAATCCAATTAGCAGAAAATGCAGCGGAAAATGAGATTGATCCTGGGCTGGGATACAACATGGCATCATCATGACATAAAGAAAGGACCTCAGCAGCAGAGGAGGCTCCTGACATTGAAAAGTGTGAATTCAAGTATGGCCCAATGTAAGTGGGCCTTTTAAAGTGATGGATGTTGAAACACAAACTCATTGGCAGTATCCCCTTGTCCCTGTTACTGGGTTGTTGAGCTAGCTTGTGTAATTATACAGAAAACCTAATATTTTATGATAGCCAATAGGGAGGGAGAATGGTGGGATCTCAGATTTGACATGTTACTTTACAGGTTTCAATCTCTTGGGCTCTGTTCTTGTGCCAGGTGCTGAAAAGGTTAGATAACTGAAGCATGCCTTGCCTTTTGATACCTCCACCCTCTCATGTATCTTGCAGCTTGTTTGGGTTAAGGGAGATGTGAACATGCCAGCTGAGGAAGCTGATATCCAGACCGTGCTGTGCCTCTGCCCCGGGAGGGACACGGGAGAAGGTCATTATAGAGACGGGTAAAGTGATAAAAAGATCAAGATGTGGGCAGCATTTCTCAAGGTTAGCGGATGGGGCTAGGATGTATCTGAGACAGGTTCTAGTCCCAGCTCTGTTGACTTGCTGTGTGACCATGGTCCCTGGCCCAGGCCATGTCTCAGTTTCCCCATCAATAAAATGGGGGTAAGGATAGGAAGGTGCTGTACAGAGCACTGTTTGCGAAGCTCAAACGTTCTCTTCCTCCCCACTCAGGGCAGGCGGGCTGAAGCTGCTGCTTTTCCTTGGCAGGTTGACGCTGTTTCCCCCCCCCCGCCCCAGAGAGGGGTGCAGCGGGCAGATGAGCCCCGGGCCTCTGCCCCCTCCCTGGCAGCCGCTCCCCGGAGAACTCAGGTGCAGGGCTGGGGGGAGCGCAGCAAGGAGCATGCGTGCTGGGACGGGGGGAGGAGGGACGGCGGGGGGAGGCGGCGGCTGTTTATTTGCAGCTGGGCAGGCGGAGCAGCGGCAGATCGCGAGCAGCCAGCAGCGGCTCGGGCTCCTGCCTGACCCGGCGGCACCATGCTAGCGCCGCTGCCTGCCCGCGCCCGGCAGGAGGAGGGTGCCCCGCGCCCGCGAGGAGCCAGCCCGGCAGGATGGTGACAGCCTCCGCCAGCGGCAGGAGCCGGGACCGAGCGCTGCTGCCGCCGTCCCCGTCGCCTCCTCCTTTCCCCGCAGCCTGGGCTGCTGCTCCAGCCCGGCCCGGCTCCGGCAGCTGCGTGGCGGCGGCCGCGGCGCTGCTGCTGGCCGGGCTGTGCGCCCTGTGCTACGGCAACTCTCTGCGGGGCGAGTTCGTGCACGACGACGTGTGGGCGATCGTGAACAACCCGGACGTGCGGGCGGCGGCCCCCTGGGCGGGCGTCTTCGCCAACGACTTCTGGGGCAAGGGCATGGCCGAGAACACCAGCCACAAGTCCTACCGCCCCCTCTGCGTCCTCACCTTCAAGTAAGTGCCCCGGCCGGGCGCCCAGCGCAACCTCCCGGCGCGCCCGTGCCCGGCTGCAGCCTGGCGCCTCCTGCTGGCTCCCGGGGCGCGCAGAGCACCCGGGGTTAACCCTGCGGGCGGGACACGGAGCGCGGCTGGGGCGCCAGCGGGATGGGAGCAGGCGGGTTAGCCGCGCATCCCCCGGCAGCAGCACCTGTGAACGCCCCCTTCCTACGCACTGCCGCGGTGACTCGCGGGGTGCAGCCGCCAGGGCGCCCCGAGGGGAGGGAGGGCTGGTGGCTGCGCCCAGCTGGCGGGTTTCCCTGCGGGGCTATGTAGGGCGAAGGAGTGTTACTTGGCGGCTGTGGGGCCGCACTGGGTGGAGGAGGAAGCAAAGGGCTTTTCGGTGCTGCGCGGGGCTTGCCCCCAGTGAGCGAGCCGCGGACTGTGCGTGCCCCTGCTGGCTGCAGTGCTCCCGGCGGCGCTGGCCCGAGGCGGTCGAAGCCCGCCGTGCCCCGTGGGGCAGAGGGCGAGGCGGGGTTCTGGGGCACTAGAGCTGCCCGGGCATGTTTGGGGCTGGGAGGCGAGCTGCGTGAGTCAGCGTTTCTGAAGGGAACGCGTGAGCAGTCCAGACCCCGGTGGGGTGCGCAGAGAGGAGGCGAGCTCGAGTCGAAGCCTAGCGGGCTGCCTTCCCCTGAGCACCGGGGCGAGGCTTGTGCAGCCCTTGTGCCCGGGGCTGTGGTGTCTCCAATCCGCCTAGGGAGCGCGGAGGGGACAACGCTGGGTTGGCATCAGAATCTTTGTGCTGAGGGGACTCGTTCTCTCCGACAGACAGGCAGCTGTGGGGAAACCGCTTTTGCAAGAACTTCAGGGTGTCTTGGCAGGTGCACCAGCTATGTGGCTGGCTGGTTCCGCAGCATCTGCATACCCCCACCGTTATTCCTTGTTTGTTTGGCTTTGTGTCCATACAAGAAGAATAGAATAAAAACAGCTTAGAAAGTGCTTTGTCTCTGAAATGGTCATTTAAATGTTCTAATTCCTGTTCAACCCCCCCTTTCAAGAAATCAAACAAACTCCAGTGCCTTTTTGAAATCTCCTTTTCTGCAGTAAGGAAAGGAATGTAACATTTGTCTACTGATCACTTTCAGTTACTCTTCTGAGAGGAATATATTAGCAACACTCTTTAAAAGAACCCTACTTAAAGGGTCTGCCTTAAATACTACATTTCTTACTGTCTGACAGCTGCAACTCTCATGTCAGTCACTGAATTCAGACTCAGACAGCTATTCTGCATTAGATGGCCCTTATATCACATGCAGAATAGCAGGGAACATTTTCTGTTACAAAACAAAAGACAAGTTGGGCAGCAGCAAAGTAATTGACAGTTATGCCCCACTAATCTGGAAGGGAAAGCTGCCCCACTTTTTTAAAAAAGGGCAGCAGATGGAGTTAGTATCAGTGCTTGTAATTAACCAATGTCCTGGTTATCTTATTCCTTTTTTTTTACTGTGTTTTGATAAAACTCTTGATAATATAAAATATTTGATATATTGTAATAAAATGCATTTTAAAATTGGGGGTCATGAACTCAGCATTGCTATGAGAAGACTTATGGTTACACTTTAAGGTTATGTCTATAAATAATAGATTTATAAGCATGTTACAGACAAGCAGTATGTGCTATAGATGGCTATAAGCACATCAGTGGAAGGTATACTATACATGCTTATAATCAATTTATTGACCTGTTGGACTCTAACAAATAACCATTAATTAAATCAGCTAATAATCATTTATAAAAAATCTGCATAAAGTAGTTGAAAATGGTACCTTAATATAAATTAATGAAAACAAAATTTCCAGCTTTTTACAAATAAAAATAAGAAGTGTTCTTGGTATTTTACAGGCAGGTCTGAAGACAAGAACCCTGCCTTAAAGAGGCGCACTAGCTTTGCATAGACAAAACCACTTCTACATGGAGCCCCATTGACTTCATTGGTGCCAGGATCAGCATGCATGGATCTGATAGCAGCATAGGGCCTAAATTATAGGAGATAATTAGTGAAGTGCTTTTGAACTTTAACAGAGTACCTGAAAATAAATGTTTCAGTATGCATTTTTTGTCTTTGAATCTGAACTGGCATTTGCCTATACTGTTTAATTTAAAACATATTTAGGATGAAATCATGCTTGATTTACCTATGCAAGTAGTTCTTTTGACAGTTAGTTGGACTAGTTTTGTTTGCAGGATTTGATCCTGAAGTATATTCATTTCAAAGTGTTTACTGTACAGTTTTAATTTCATAAGTACCTGGGCTGGGTGTTGGATAGGGAAGGAATCATTTTACTACTTTAATACCTGGCTGCAGAGTGAAGACTAATTCAGCTCAAAGAAGTCTCTGTGGGACCTTTGTGGGTTTTTTTTTCTCCTCACCATTGTCAGCAGTAGGGGAGGCGGAGGATGATGGGATCTGAGCAGAAGTGGGTTCTCTGGCCCCACTTCCTGAGAATTGTGCATAAGGGCTCTCTCCAAGTGGCACTCCACTCCATGTGCGGGATGCATGTTCCCTGCATAAACATCCAGTCTCCCCCTTGCTCAGCAGAACATCACTGGCTCCACTGTGTAGAGGCACACTTTTCCTCTGGAGGAAGGGATGGATTTACCCTATTGGCAATAAAAAGCTTAATAGAAATGGACTTTTTAGCAAAATTGAAATAAAAATAGCATCCTAATACTGTCCAGAGATGAGAGCATCCACTTATGATGCTTAAGAAAATGGTGCATTGTGTGTATTTGCAGATTAGATTGAAGATGGAATGTAATGGCTGAGCTACCCATTCAGCCACACTGTGTTGTCTAAGTGAAGATCAAGGGGTTTTAACAGTAGCAAGATCCTGTGTGAGGCACCATTCATTATCCTCCTCTGGAATAAAGTTATAATTCCAACCATGGAATTTGTTCTATGCACATAATTCAGAGACCCTATGGATTTTGGATCATACTATAGCAAGATTCAAAAGAAATCTTTTGGGATTATATCTGCAACTCTCATTTTATTCTATCTCTTATTCATTCTTTAATGGCCATGCCATTATTGTAACTATGAAATCAAGAGGAACAATTCGGGATGCCCTGTAGACTTTGAATTGACACTGAAACAAAGTCTATGACAGCGACTATCATGTTCTGAAAATGATTTTGCTTGAAAAACAACCTTCCCCCCACCCATCCATTAGAAGAATTTTAAAAGGACAGTCCTTAATACATTGGACTCAAGTGTTAAAACCAAGCAGTTAAAAACTTCAAAAAGTTATTTGACTTAATTCATATTATAGCAGAAAGACTAAAATAAAAATTTAAAATAAAAATCTTTAGTTACAGATTAATAAATACATATCATGGATATAATTTATTATGTGTATGCTCTCAATATGAACAGTAAGAGGAGAGTTGAATGGCCTATGTTACTAGAACCTTGAGTTAAAAATAAAATAATCACACTCTGGGTGCATTTTTTGTGTGTCTGGATATCAGCAAGCCAACCTCTCTCCCCACCCCCCAAGAAAAAAACAACCAAGGTGCGTCCCCCTGCCCCCCTCCTGAATGTAAATTCTTAACTTTAGTGTTTTTTAAACTTTTTTTTTATTTGATCTTCTACAGTTCATTCTGTCCCTGTCTTTCTTGCCTTACAAACAAACAAACAAGTAAAATGTGTTCAAATAAGTGTGTGTGGGTGTGTATAATTTCCTAACAGCCAGTCCTTTGATTCCTCCTGGTCTCTTAGAAAGCACCGAGCTTAAATATATCTTGTGCATTGTCACTGGTAACAGAGGTTCTGTAGACCAGTTATGTCCTCAGTGGCACTTAGGCTACACACCCTCGCTTCTCATGGATTTGCACAATGTTGCTGATTTGGAACTTAGTAAACAATATTGTTGATGCAAAAGACAAAATAAAATCCTCAGCTCACTCTCTCTTAACTGTTTGTTCTGCAAAGCTAGTAACCAAAAAACAGTAGAACTTGCTTTTGTCACTCAGATGGGATATGACTGAGACAGCAAATCTGTGGAGTAATTAAGTAGCACTTTGATATAGTCGTCCGAGTAGAACTGCTCTTTAAGTACGAGCACTAACAGGCTTGGAAAGAAGTCTCTTCTAAATTCAAGAAATAACAAAAAAACAAGTTTCAAAGGACATTAAACAGATGTCATCCTGTTTTAACTTTGGTTTGGTGAACACAGCCTGTAAGGAAAATGAAAGGCATGCCCCTAAAGCCCATTTGAGATCCCATCAAACTAACGAAAGGCTCACCCTCTCACAAGATGGAGAGGGACACAGAAGACAACAGATTATTTGGGACAAAAGATGGGGCGGGGGGGGGGGGGAAGGGATTGGAAGTGCAGTTCACAGGGTCCAAAAAAAAAAAAAAAGGATCCAGAGGGGGGGGGACACCCAGCACAGAAACTTCAAAACACCCATTTCTCTTAGCAGGAGTTAGTGGAACTCTTCTCAGATGCGTGAAGGAAACAGAAGAAGGCCCTGCAACTGCAGACAACCCCCTGTCCTGCTTCCTCCTTCTGGCCATCTTGGCTAATGCCAGGAGGAGATGGACAAGGAAGTCACAGGACTTTCTGGGTCCATGGATGAGGAGATTGAAGTTCTCTTCCCACAGAACTGGTGTAGAAGAAGGCAGTAGTGCATGCTTCCTTCACACCAACATGCCTTTATCCTGACTTAGTGTGATCACTTCCTTAGGTGGAAGAGCAGTTAAATCTTGGCTCATTCATTCACTGGTCTTTCTGCTGAGGTGCACCAACAAAAAGGCTAATAGTGTTGGCTTTTGAGACATGGACACTTGGGAGTGAGACTGAGAACATCCTCTCTTTTCACAAAGTGCACTGTATTGCTGTCAGCAGCAGCTAGGAGGGCATGATCCAAGGCCCACTGAAGTCAATGAAAAGACTCCCATTGACTACAATTTCCTTTGGATCAGACCTTTAGTGACTGTGAACCTCTGGGT